GGCTCTGGGTTCCCTGCTTGTCCTCCTGCCAGGAGGCCCGATCTATGCCCCTCCTGACCCCACAGGGTCCACCACAGAGTGTGGGCTTCTTCTTTACTGCCCATAGGAACTTCCTGCTCCAGACCCAGGTGTCCAGCTCTTGACTGCTCTGCAGACCAGAGTAGACTGGCCACTGGGGTGAGAAGGATCGAGGGGAGGGGAGGGGGTCTTGGGGAGGCTTGGATGCAAGGGAGGCAGCAGAGGGAGACTGGGACAGTGCTATCCTGGGTCCCCTGCACCTGGGTCTCAGCCTAGCACTCCTCAGAGCCTGCGACCTGCCACACCCAAGCTCCTGCAGTCACAGTCTTGCCATGCAAGGCTCCGGAGCGTGGGTGGGGTGGGTTCGGTGACACCTGTGAGAGGGCAGAGCTGGGACGGAAAAAGTGAGTGTGGCTTGGGTGCTGACGGGAAGGCGGGAGTGAAGCACTGACGGCTGGGCTCTCATCTTAGCTGCCACCTGCTGGGGCTGGGGGCTGGGGACTGGGGACGCCACCACTTCCTCCCGCCTGTGCTTTGACTTTCTTTCTTTTTTTTTTTTTTAAATATGTATCAGTTGAAACTCATGATCTTTAAAACATACTCAAAATGTGTTTGTCAATTCAATTTTTATTATTCATTTTAGTATTTTTTTGATGCTCAAATTGCGTCCTTGTCATTTTGACATGACTCTCACTTGGTTCCTTGCCTTTGGGGACAGCGAGTTGTTCCTGTCCCAGCACAGTCCTGACAAAGGACCCTCTGTGTCCCTCTCTTCCTGCACCCCTGCTGGGGCTCCCAAAGGAGGTGCTCCTGAGGTGGCGCCTGAGGGAATCCTCCCAAGGATGGCTCCTGGGGAAGGTCCTGCAGGGGAGTTCTGGGGAGCTTCTGTGGGGAGCCCCTGGGGAGGCTTACTGGGCTCCTGGGGGTGATCCCAGGGGGGTACCCAGGGGGATCCTAAGGGAGGGATCCTGATAGGGGCTCCAGTGCCAGTTCCATCCCCATTGCTGACTTGGGCAACTTTACCATTGCAAATCCAGTACTGGGAGCCCAGGACACTCTTTGTCACTTTGCACTTTTGCCGGTGACCCCTAGGAGGTTTTTCCGAAGGGAAGGTGTAGGATGCTTCTCATGGCACAGGATCCTTCAGGCTGATGTTTCCACCATGGTGGGGCTGCCCCCACAGCCTCATCAAAGGCTGCTGTGGCTTTCAGGTTCTGCCAATCAGGTGGTTGAAGTTTTAACTTATATTTTTGATGTTATGAATGGAATGGAACATCCTTTCATTGCTTAAGAGATACACATGCACTCACATATATATACACATGTATGTTATACATATACACATGCACATGCATGTGTGCTCAAACATATTGGTGAACCGTCTGGTTCCATCTCCTGCTCACTTTCTTTTTTTCTTTTTTCTTTTTAGTTTTAAAGCAATACTATTTTATAGGTCTATCAATATGGTAAACCAATTTTTCAAGTATTTTTTGATGAAAATTTTCTGACACGTAAATCCTTTTCATTTTTAAAAATCCCCTCTGTCTCTCAGAATAGTCCCAGTTAAACACATTACATGAATTATTTACCTTTGGGGAGAATCATGTTTTCTTTTCTTTTTAAAATTTTTTTTAATTTTAAAGATATGGGGTACAATTCAGGGTTAAGTATACAAATTCCTGCTCACTTTCTATTGTGCTTCATCCTTGTTCTTTCCAGATTTTTTGGTCTTCGTAGAATTTGGGTATTAGCTCTTTGTGTAATAGTGCACATATATTCTGTTTGCTTATGATAATTTTTTGCCATGCTAAAATTTTTTTCCCACAACGTATGGAGTTCTTCCTCTCTCCCTTCCTCTCTCTCTCTCTTTTTCTTTCTTTCTTTCTTGATGGGGTCTCTGTCACTCAGGCTGGAGGATAGTGGTATAATCATAACTCACCAGAGCCAGGACCTTCTGGGCTTATGTGATCCTCCCTACTCAGCCTCCTAGCAGCTGGAGCTACCATGCCCAGTTAATAGTTTTTAATTTTATTTTTTTGTAGAGGTGATGTCTCACTATGCCATCCAGGCTGTTCTCGAACTCCTGGCCTCAAATGATCCTCCTGCCTCAATCTCTCAAAGTGCTAGTATTACAGTGCTGGAATTATAAATCACTGTGCCTGGCCCAAGTATAGAGTTGAATGTATCAGCCTTTTCTTTAACTGCTTCTTGGTCATTAGTTCTTCAACAGTTAGGAAGTTTTACCTTCTCCCATGCTATAAAGGACACACCTCATGTGTTCTTTTTTTTTTTCTGAGTTGGAGTCTCACTCTGTTGCTCAGGCTGGAGTGCAGTGGCACACTCACGGCCACCCCAGAGTCGACCTGCTGGGCTCCAGCGAAGCTTCCACCTCAGTCTTCCAAGTAGCTGGAACTATAGGTACCCGCTAGCATGTCCGGTTAATTTTTGATTTATTGTAGAGACAAGGTCTCACCAAGTTGCCTGGGCTGGTCTCGAACCTGCGGGCTCAGGCAATCCACTCACTTTGGCCTCCCAAAGTGCTGGGGTTACAGACTAAACCACCGAGCCTGGCCCCACGTGTTCTTTTTAACACCCCAGAGCTGTTGCATTTGGGATCTGTGCACATGCTCAGCATGTGGTTTGAGTCGAACTTAATACTTTCCCGATTGGCTGTCACTGTCCCAGCACCACTTGTTTCCAAGTCTGTCTTCCTGCCCACTAACTTGGGTCGTGGGCTAGGTCTGCTCCTATCCGCTTGTGTGCTAACATCACATTTTCATTGCACGAAGTTTTCCTATCTGGTAGAGCTGGGCTTCTTTCACTTTCTTTTCATGGTTTTCTTGGCTGCTACTTGTGTGCTTACTTTTCCATATGAACGTTGTAGTTCCAGAAATGTGGGTTCCTACTGTAATGATGCTAAAATCATAAATGAAGTAGGAAGAACTGACGTGTAAGATGTGTCATGTCCTGGTGACCAGGACGCCGCAGGCCTGTTGTAGCCCACGTGGGTTCCACTTCTCTCCAGCAGGTTTCCATGGTTCTCATTCAGTTTCTGCCTCGAGCACTTTATCACATGTCTTGCTGTTCTGGATGGAACATTCTCTTCCTCTTCATCTTTTGACTGGTTACTGTTTGAATACAGAAAAACCATTTGTTTTTGGAGGTGAATTTTATATCTGCAGCTCGGTTGGATTTTCTTTTTGGCCATGGTGGTTTCTCCGTGGGACCCCGTGGGTTTTCCAGACCTGCAGACCCACGTCCCCCTCAGAGGCCTGGGTGCCTTCCCTTTGGGTTCGAGAGTGTTTTGCATCCCCAGAACCACGCAGCCTCCTTTTCTGGGTTGTGGATGTGGTGATTCTACCTCTGGCTTGGCCCAGGTCTGGAGCCCAGGGAGGGAGGCAGACACAGGAGGAGCTCTGTGGGCTGGGGGTATGTGGACACCTGTGACTTGCTGCCTGGCATTGTCATCATTGTTGTCAGCAGCTGAGGACCTCAGTATAGTGCTGGGGCTTGAAGCAGGGGTGGCCCCTTTCAGGGATGAGTCTCTCTGGAATGGGCCTCCCTCTGTGCATTGGGGGAGGGACCCTTGGATGCCATGTCTTGCCCACAGCACTGGGGCCCCTTGTAGCCTGGTGCAGCCCACCCATCCTGCTGTGATGGCCCTGGCACTGGGCATCAACCCTGCCTGGAGGGACTCCTGGGTGCGGGGGACATGGGGCTGGGGCAGGGTAGGCACAGGCCCAACTGCTCAGGGATGCCTGAACCAGGATGAGGTGGCCGGCGGCAGTGGTCGTGGGACCCAGGAAAGGCTTGGGGCTGGGGAGGAGGGTGCCACTGCCGCCTGAGGTTGGAGACGTTTCCCGCCTGGGGGACAGGGTGACGAGGGCAGCGAGGACCACGTGGTTCTGGGACAGTGAGTCAAGCATCCTCCATCTTCAGCCTCAGCCCGGCACAGCCCTGCCCAGTGAGGTCGCCCCACCTTTCTGCCTCCCTCCTTGACACTCCCCGCACAACACAACCGCAGACAGGACAGAACTCCTTAGTGCATTCCTCAGGTTTAATTAGAATCTAATAGAACTAAAGGGAAAGGGCCTCCGAATCCTCGCTGCACAGGTGCCTGCCGGCCAACTGTGACTCTGGCCGTCCTTGCCTGGGCAGCTGGAGTATGGCGTGGACAGCAAGGGTGGCTAGTCCTGGTTGAGGGCGCCCAGGCAGGGATGCTGGCACCACCTCAGCACCTCCTGGGGGGAACCTAGCCAAGACACCTTTAAATAATGCCGTGAATGGGCACCAGGGAGAGCCCTCTTCCCCAGTGTGAAAAAACTAGGCACCCCTGGGCTCCTGCACCATGGTCTCCTACCCACCCAGGTGGGCACAGTGAAGAGGGGCCTGAGTTAGCCCCACCCCTGCCCAACCTTATGGTGGGACCTGAAATGTCCCTCACCTGGGATCCTCCTGAGTGAGGGGGAGGGCTTCTCCTGGTAGGAGAGGCTAGGGGTGGCAGGGGCAGGGGGAGACCCGGGGAGCTGCCGACTCTGCCTGCCCCTTCCCTCCTCAATTTTCCTGCTGCATTAAGGACCCGAGGCACTGCCTGGACACGCAGGGGCCCTGCCATGCTCCCCTCAGCTAAGGGCTCTTCTGGTTTTCTTTGTGCTTGGTGGGGCATGTGGCCCCTGGAGAAACCCCAGCCCTGTGCACCTCCCACCCTGCACCCCTGAGAGCAGCTTGGTCCCATGTCCAGTGCATCCCGGGAGCAATCACAAAGGCCCTTCTCCAGGAACTAGGCTCTGGGCAGCAGGTCCATGTGGTTCCAGTCCTGTCCAGCAGAGCTGCAGCAGTGCTTCAGCAGCTCTTTAGCAGAGCTAGGCCAGCTCTGTCCCCATGAGGCCTAAAGTGGTAGCTGGTATGGATGCAGGGCCCACTGGGGGAAGGGACTGGCTTGGGTGTGGGGGCCTGCAGCTGCTAGTGGCCAATGGGGCCCATCAGAAAGGCCAAGAGCAGTGTCCATCCTCAGTCCTGGGAGGCCGAGGACCCCCAGGGCTGTCAGCTGAGACCCTGCGGCCAGGGGACAGAACACCCAGAGTGCTAGGGAACACAATGGTGGCATATTCTGTGGGCTCAGGGTCACAGGGCACAGAGGGCTCCGGGGTCTTCTCTCGGGCCTGAAAGTCCAGCTCCTCATAGTCCACGGAGAATACGGGTCCTGCGGAGGAGGCCTCCTTCTTTAGGGGGAGAGGAGGGGTCATCCCAGAGCCCAACTGAGAAAGGGTCTATGCCCCACAACCCAGCCCCCACTGCCTGCCACCTGGTCCCTCACTCAGGGCAGGGGAGCCCTGGTGGCTGTCCCACCATGGCTCCTGTGCAAACTGGGGAGGCAGCCCTTCCTCTGGTTCTGTTTCCCTTCTAAGATGTCCCTGGCATTCTTGAAGATTTAGGAGTCCAGAAGCTCCCTCTGGCGTAGGAGAAGCTGAGCCCACCAGACCTCACAAGCTTTGCATGTAGTGGCCATGGGCCTGAGACAGCAGGGCATGGCTTTGGGGATGGAGCTCATGCTTCCATGGTCTTGGAAGGGCGGTCCTGGCTGGATGTGTGGATCTGATGCAGCCCTTGGGCCGACTACCCCTCTGCCTCTGACCACTCAGGAAGGCAAAATGTGGCAGGCCAAGTGTGAAAGGGACTCACTCACCAGGGGCTGGTCAGCATTGCTGGTTCCTCCCGTTCCTGCAGAGAGAGAAACCCACTTGAAACTGAGGGGCAGACACAGAGCCGACCTCCTCAGGTGGGGGTCTTACGCAGGGTCCCAGCTCCAAGGGACATCAGCAGTTCATCCTAGGGCAGGGGCTTTGGGCCGGGCCCTGAGGCAAAGCTGTGTGGCCCCTGAGAGGCTCACCTGGCCCCAGTGTAAGGGTTAGAATCCCTAGGTGGACCAGGAACTCAGAGGGGAGCACCCACCGGTTAGCCCCTGGGCTCATGGCACAGGGGGCACAATCAAAGGCCCTCTCATGCTGCCCAGAAATGTGCCCTGCACAGTGGGGCCCACAGTGCAAAACACATGAGGGAAGAAGATGAGAATCATTGAAGAGTGACTTCCCGAGGGCCCTGACTGGGACAGGGGAGGCCCTGCTAGTCAGTGTGATTGCACTCCTGCTACCTGCTTGGGGCCATGGAGGCAGGAGCAGCTGGCGGTTTTGTCCAGGCTCTAAGTCAGCAGCAGAAGCAGCTGGAGGTCAGGTTCCCGTGAGGTACCCTTAGGTCTCTCCCAGGAAAGCCTGACCCAGAGCTGTTGGGTGTGCAGAGCCTCTGGAAGGGGCTCTGAGGGTTGGCCAGCTGGCTTGTTCCCCCTGGACAATGGCACCAGGAGAGATGGTGCTCAGCCCAGAGATGCCCTCTCACCTTCAGAGTGATTTTAGTGAGGACCAGCTATCCTGGGTGCCTACTGCGGCCCTCCACAGTCACCAGGGTGTATATGGGGTAGGGTGTTCCAGGTCCTCATGGAGGTCAGGGTGTGTGGTGGGATGTCCCAGGTCCTCATGGCGTTCATGGTATGTGTGGGGTGGGGTGTCCCAGGCCCTCGTGGAGTTCAGGGTGTGTGGGGAGTGGTGTGTCCCAGGCCATTATGGAGGGCAGTGCATTTGGGATGGGGTGTCCAAGTCCCTCACTGAGGTTAGTTTGTCACAGGCAATCATGGAGGCCAGGATGTGTGTGGGGTGTTGCTAACTACCCCAATGTGGCTTTGTGGTTGAACCCCCCAGGCTTTACTCCTCTGCTGACAAAGCTGTTTTGTGACATCCTGTGGTGGCCTGAGGTTTGGGGCTAGAACAGGTAGCTCTGGGCCTCCCCAGTGGTCAGAGCTGAGATGTGCCTGCTCCTTCCTTCCACTCCCCCCCGCCCCACACCAGCCTCAGACCCCTGCCTGGCATGGGGAGGGTGGCAGGGCTCAGGCCTGAGGAACTCCAGAGAGACTATGGTCTGGGAGGGGTCTTCACTGCGGAGGGGAGGGATGTAGGAAGAGGTGTGAGGAGGGATGGGAGAGGGGAGGGATGCAGTGAGAGGTGAGGGAGGGAGAAAGGACGGATACAAGGAGAGGTGCTGGAGATATGGAAGAGCTGGGGAGGGAGAAGTTAGGGTCAGGGTTAGGGCAGGACTTGGGCAGGGCCTGGGCTCTACTCTGGACGGGAGGACTGTGGCAGGTGTTACCTTGAGTGGCCCTGGGGCAGGTGGTGGCCAGGACCCAGGCCAGCAGCAGCAGCACCAGGACTCCCACCAGGACGCTCGTGACGCTGACCACCAGGCCTTGGATCTGGCCCGCTGGGCTGGGGGAGGGGCTCGGGTGCGCTGTGGGTAGCTCTGACACTTTCTCTGGAAGGGCACAAAGGACAGGGTCAGGGCCCACGGTCAGAGCCAGGGGTTGGGGTGCAGGGTCAGGGCCAGGGGTCAGGGCCTGGGGCCTCAGAGACTCGTGGGGCTGTGGTGGTTCCCAAGCGAGGGTATGGGCCACTGTGGCCCTGGGTGTGGAACCGCCCTGGACTGTTGCCAGGTGGGCCCCACTCTTCACACAAGGGCTGGCGTCTCCGCCCATCATCACGCCCACCACCTGGGTCTGGAGACCGTACCTGTCACGGTGAGCTTCGCGTGGGGGCTCTCTTTGATCTGCGTGTTGGGAGCCAGGGAGATGGCTCCACAGAGGTAGATGCCACTGTCGTTGAGCCTCACGGCCACCACACTCATGTGGAAGTCACGCCCATTGGGCAGCGGTGTGACACGGAAGTGGCGGTCGCGGTCAGGTTGGCTGCAGTTCTTGGGGTCGGGCTGGATGCGGTCCTCAGGGTAGGCGGCCAGCTTGTATGTCTGGTTGCTAGGGCTCATGCGGTACAAGTTCAGCACGAACTTCCCGGACGCATGGGAGAAGCTGCAGGTGAACGTGGCGTTGGCCCCCTCAGGCACCGAGAGTTGAGCTGGTGTGAAGGTCAGGGGCCTCCAGGGCCCATTAGGGAGACCTGGGGTTGCAGGGAGGTGAGGAAGGGCCAGCCAGCCTGTGAGAGCTCAGCATCCTCTGCGTGCCTCAGGCTGGAAGGCTCTGGAGGTCCCGGGCTGGAATCCCCTGAAGCCTCGACAGGGCCCCAGCCTTCCTTGACTGCCATGATCCCCTCCACAACCCCCGCCCCTGCAGAACTTCATGAGAGCTGAGGCTGGGTTCTTCCCAGTGTTCTGGCTCTGACCTGGGTCCCCCATCTTCTCCCAAGAGCCTTCACCCCCTGCATGCGTTGACTTCAGGTCACCAGTCTCCAGAGGGGGTGGTGGGACGGCTCCCAGGCCTGACTCCTCATGGCCCCGTTCTGCCATCCTGGACCCTGGTGCTGGGCGTCCTGACCTGGTTCTGTCCATGCTGCTACAGTGGAGAGTGAGGTCACCAGGGGCTATGCGGGGAGCTGGGGGCTGCCATGAAGACCCGGCCCTGTGGGAGACGGCCTTTTGGCAGCCTCGGGTGCAGGGTGTGTTCCATTCTCAGGACAAGCTCAGAGCTGGGTGCCAGGCCCCAGTGCATGGGGCCCACTAAGTGTGGGCATCACTGCCCAGGCAGTTGGTGGCATAGGCCTTGTCCCACAGCAGGGCCTGGGGCTGTAGCTCCCAGCAAGCAGTTTCGGGGGCAGCTGCCATTGCCTCCCAAGCGGACAGACCTGGTCACCCCCTGGGCTTCCTGAGACAAGGACTCACCGAGACTCGCCTGCTGGGGCCTGCCCAGGACCCTTGCACAGCCACCCAGAGGCCCCAGTGCTACTACCAGTGCCCTGCTCCATGGGCCCCCTCATATGTGTCCTCCGCCCCACACACACGCATCCACACATGCTCACATACCCTCTCCCGCCCATCCACACAGGCACACCTGTGCTTGCCAGAACATTGCACCCACATGAGGCACCCACATCATGAGCCAGCAGATCCCCCATTCACGTTCGAGGCCACTACACATCCCGACTACACACAGCCAGCTTATCCACCACCATGTGTTTGGACCACTGTGTGTCTAAACCACATGCAGCCAGCACATCCAGCACCACGTGTGTCTAGACCACTACCTCATGTGCAGACCACACGCTACCAGCACACCTACCACCACGTGTCTAGACCACACGCAGCCGGCAGGCCCACCACTTCATGTGCGGATCTCACGCAGCCCGCACGTCCACTGGGGCCTTCCCTCAGCAGTACTCATGCGTGTCCTCTCTATACATCTATTCAAGAAGCATGCACAGCTCTTCACATTTAATGCTTTAAATAAATAATAGGACAAGTTGGAATCAGATCTGGTAAGCACTGTGCTGTGGTACCCAAGCCCCAGGTCTGTGGCAGGGTGTGGGTGTGGCGACTATAGGGACCTCTGCTCCGGGCCTGACAGCCTTGCTGGCCCCCTGCATCTAACCTCCCCCTCCACCAAATGCCAGCATCCCCACTGCTGCCTTGCATCGCCTCCTCCCGCATCTGAGATAGAAACCCAAGTCCCCTCACAAGTTCCTCCAGTAACCTCTAGTCTGGTTGGCACCCCCCCACCAGTGGCTCCCAAATCCACTGACATACCTGGCCCAACCCACCAAAGCCTCCAGATAGACTCCAACTCCTCCCTGGCCAGGGTGCCAGGCAGGGACCCCCCCCATCCCTGAGGGTCCAGGAGGACATAGGCACCTCCCCCGTTTTGAGCAGGACCCTCCCTAAAGGCCCCTGTAGGCTTCGGGCTCACCAGGCACACTGGGACTCCTCCTGCTGTCACACCTGACAGGACCTTCCCACAGCAGACCCTGCCTGGCCACTGGCTCCATGGCTGGGCTCTGGGCTGCCCCTGTGAGGCCTGCATGAACAATTGCCCCTGGACCCCAGCCCGGCCTCACCCTGCTGTTCTTGGCATGGGCCCTCACTGGCCCCACACAGAATATGCTGTCTGCTCATTGGCTTATTTGTGGTCCCTTGTGTGAAATGTGACCTTGACCAGATGGGACCCTTGGCTCCTGGGCCTTGTCACCCATGGGTCTCTCCCAGCCCTTTTGGCTGGTCTCTGCACAGTGGCCCAGGCCCTGCAGCTCCCGGGTTCCACCTTGCGGCCCTTCAGGACATGCCTCGTGGCTCCTGCTCCCTCCTGGCTGCTCCTTGGACACACCCCACACACTTTCCTGTCTCACCTGTCTCCCAGTGTCCCTGTGGCATGCCCAAAGGTGGCAGTGGCAGGGGCAGGCATACTGGGGCCACTGAGGTGAACGGCAGGCCAGGCCAATGGCTCGCCATGGACACAGGTGGAAGGGTGACCCTGGCACCTTGCCACTCTGGAGCTGGCTTTGACCAGGGGACATTTCCAGGTGGGCCAGTGCAGCAGGACCACAGGGGATGACCCCTGGCTCTCAGCACCTCACATGGAGGAAGATGAGCTCCCAGGAGTGGCCTATCAGGGCCACTGGGGGTCAGCCTGGGGCACAGGTGGAGACCCTGCTTGGACATGGCTGGGGGTGGACATGGTACAGAGCGTGGTACAGAGCAGAGACATGCCCAGTGCTGCATTTCTGGAAATGCAGCTGACGCCTTGGGCAGCATCTCTGAGCTCCATCCCCGGGCTGGGCTGTCTTGTGGCCGTCTGGTAGGCAAGGGATCAGTGTTACCATGGGAACTGTCGCCCCCATATAGCCAGGAAGCCCCATGGTTGGGCAACGAGAGCCAAGGACACTGCTGAGCTCTGGGCACTGGGCCAGGTTGTCGACTCATCCCTACATGGTGAATGTCTGTCATGTGATTTTCTATTGCTTATGTAATCAAAAACTTCAATTTTGTCAATTTATTTGCAAAAATGAATAGAGGTCCCTGCATTTTCCTTGATCCGTCTGTGTCACTGAGGTGCCTCAGACCTTTTCCATTTGGGTCACACTGGCCCTCACCCAGTAGGCCTCGAACCCTGGGGGCCCTGTTTTGGAATCTGCTGGGAGGGGGTAAATCTAGCTGAGTCCTCTGCCTCCCCTGCCCCCCTTGTCTGCTGAGTAGGGGTGGGGGCTACCACTTGGGGCCAGGAACCCAGCAGCCCCTCCCTTCCCCCTCCTAGCCTGTGTCAGTGACTCCTGCTCCCTGGGGGCCTCAGGTGAAGGTGCTGAGGGGAACTGTCTGGCCCCTGCTCACCTGGGGAACTCCCATCCAAGGCTTACCTCACCTCATTCTTCCAGGTCACCTCCTCCAGGAAAACTTCCTGACCTCTTTAGTTGATAGAGAGTCCCATCAGGAAGGTAAATATTTATTTATTTATTTATTGAGTTGGAGTTTCACTCAGTCACCCAGACTGGAGTGCAGTGGCCGCTCCCAGCCACCGCAGCCTCGACCTGCTGGGCTCCGGCGATCCTTCCGCCTCAGCCTTCCGAGAAGCCGGAATTACAGGCGCGCGCTACCACGCCCGGCTGATTTTTTGATTTATTGTAGAGATGAGGTCTCGCCAAGTTGCCCAGGCAGGTCTCGAACCCGCGGGCTCAGGCAATTCACTCACCTCAGCCTCCCAAGGCACGGGATTACAGGCTGAGCCACCAAGCCTGGCTGGGTAAATATTTAGAATGACCTGGGTATGTTCCTGGGTAAAGTCACATTTGAGACATTTCCATGGGATTTCAGTTTCTCCAAGTTTTCTCTCTGGGTTCCACATAGGAGGGTGGGATGATGGGAGAGGGCTGTGTCCTGCCCGAGGTCAGGAGGGGGAGGCCTTTCTGGGGCAGAGCCCAGGCCGTATTCGCTAGCATCACTGGCCTTTGAGGGGAGCTCAGACCAGGCCCAGCTTTGCAGAGAGGCCGCCTCACACACAGTGCCTGCTGCAGCCACCACTAAGGCCTTGTTTAGGCGAGAGCCTCTGGAGAGTCCATAGCTCATCAAAAGGGACCCAACAGGCACACCAGGAGGGACTGAAGCCCTGTCTGTGACTTTCTGGTCGATCACAAAGTCTGGGCTCCTTGGAACCAGCATCAGACACACCTGATAGCCCCATCCTCATCTGTATTCTCCAGGGGCACTGGTGGCCAAGACAGAAGAAACCTGGAGGAATCTGTGGCCAGCAGCAGCAGACCTCTGACCAGGTTCCCATCAGAGAAAAGGAAAGTGCCAGAGGCTGTGCTGGGGCTACTGTCCAGAGGGAGGGGGCTGTGAGGTCAGCTTTGTTCCCAGAAGCCCTGGCTGAAGGATGAGGAGGGAAGTGTCTTCTATTGTCTGCAATGATGGCTTGCGTGGTCTGAAACATGGCAGTCATGTGTAGAGATGGGATGTGTTGTGGGCTGGGCTGTGTCCCCCCCATATTCTTCTGTTGAAGCCCTGACCTTAGGCCCTCAAAATGTGGCCTCGTTAGAAATAGGTCATGGCAGATGGATTAACCAATGTGAGACACACTGGAGAAGGGTGTGCCCTGCCAACTAAAAATAAAACTCTGTGCTCCCCACTGACTGAACGTACCCCCCCTGTAGCCAAGGGAACCCCCCCCAAAACTTAAAAACTGAGTCCCAGCCATGATAGGGCAAGAGGTCATACGCGCCTCATTATACCCCCACCTTTTGACACAGCTGGCCAGCATTAATATTAAAATAGAGACCATAAGACTAACAGAGCAGACTCTGTGTCAATAAGACACCAAATTATAAACAGGACCTAAGACCATGCCAGGCAAAGGTTAAGTCATGCACCCTACGCTTGAAGAATACACTCTTTTTTAACTGCCACAAGATCTCTTCTCTAGCAGCTAAACAAACACCGGCCTCCAGAGAAGCAACATTAAAACAGTCACAACTCATCCAGCTCACAGAGGCCGACTAGCTGACCCCTGTCCCACCGGCCACAACTACAGTTTTGATTAGACAAGGACTGATGTCATTGACTTTATCTTGATTAGAGACCGCCGAACATAGACTAGTTCTGGCTGGTGTAAAGTGCTTCTGTGTCCTGAAAGGATTTTTTGACACATAGGGCTGAACTACAACACATTTAAATGTCAAGTCTTGGTCAGGCATGGTGGCTCACGCCTATAATCCCAGCACTTTGGGAGGCCGAGGTGTAACTCTGGGTACAATTTCCCCTTACAGGACACAAGTCATGTTGGATTAGGGCTGTTGACTTTAAAAAAATATATAATACAGTTTTTAAATTTAGAAAAGGAAGCCAGGTGCAGCGGCTCATGCTTGTAATTCTAGCACTTTAGGAGGTGGAGGTGAGAGGATTGCCTGAGTCCGCGGGTTCGAGATCAGCCTGGGCAACTTGGTGAGACTTCATCTCTATTTAAAAAAAAGAGTAAAGCCGGGCTCGGTGGCTCAGCCTGTAATCCTGCGCCTTTGGGAGGCTGAGGTGAGTGGATTGTCTGAGCCCGTGGGTTCAAGACCCACCTGGCAGGCGAGACCTCATCTCTACAATAAAATCAAAAAATTAGCCGGGCGTGGTAGCGCGCGCCTGTAATTCTGGCTACTCGGAAGGCTGAGGCAGAAGGATTGCCTGAGCCCAGCAGGTCGAGGCTGCGGTGGCTGGGAGTGGCCACTGCACTCCAGTCTGGGCGACAGAGTGAGACTCTAATAAAAAATAAATAAATAAATAAAATAAAACAAATTTAAAAAAAGGAGTTAAATCTCTACCCCAAAGTGAACATGGTCATATGTTGCACACATATTTGTTCAATACACATGCATCAGGACCACCTTCATGAATATTCATAGTCTCTCCTATAACCTATTGAGTATCTTAGCCCCGAGGCAGCTTCCCAGCCTGTGGGATGCTACCTTGCAGGCTGTAACCCCTTTGAATATTTCCCTCCTTTTCTAAATTTTTTTTTGACTGCAGTCTCACTTTGCCACCGGAGTGCAATGGCACGCTCACGGCCACTACAGCCTCCACCTACCGGGCTTAGGTGATCCTCCTGTCTCAGACTTCCAAGTAGCTGGAACTATAGACGCGCACCACCAAGCCCAGTTAATTTTTTGACTTATTGTAGAAATGAGGTCTCACCAAGTTGCCCAGGCTGCTCTCGAACCCCTGGGCTCAGGCAATTCTCTCGCCTTCGCCTCCCAAAGTACTAGGATTACAGGTGTGAGCCACTGCATCTGGCTTCCTTTTCTAAGTTTAAAAATTGTAATTCAACATGACTAGTGTCCTGTAAAGGGAAATTGTATCCAGAGTCACACATGTGGAGCTGGAGGCAGAGGTCAGGGTGATGCGTCCACAAGCCCAAGAATGACAAAGTTTCCAGCAAACCCAGAAGCCAGAGAGACACCTGAACAGGTTGACCTCAGAGCTTTGTGGGGCATGGGTCCTGCTACATCTTGATCCTGGACTCACAGTCTCTGGCTGTGAGATAACATGGTTCTGATGTTAGAGCCACCCTGTCTGTGGCCTCTGTGATGGCAGCTCCAGCCAAAAAACACCACAAGCGAACACTGAAATATTTTGAAAATCTGACTCTAACAAATGTGTGGATGGTTTGGACAGCTTTGTAAATGATTGAGTCTCCTCCTCATCAGACCCTGGTAGGAGGTGACATTGTCCCCAAACAGTGGATGAGAAGCAGTAAAGAGGTTGTGGGCACCAAAGCTCACAGCTTTGATTTGAACTGTGTCCTGGAGCCCTGGGCAAGGACAGTGAGCCTTGGGTCTGAGATGTCCCCTGGAGTTCAGGGAAGCACACAACAAAGGTGTAATTGCCTGTGGGAGCGCCCAGGACAGTGAATGCAGGAACTAGATAGGGAAGGAAAAAAGATGTGGCAAAAATCTTACAGCCAGGGGTAGACACGATTGGGACTGTAAGAACAGGACTATAGTGACACATGCTGTACCTGGCTGAAGTGCTGAGCGCTGAGTGGCACAGGTGGGGAAACTGAGGCATGCTTATTGAGACTCTTGCCTGGGGTGCAAGCTAGTGCATCTGAATGTGAGGGTCTAGCTGCAGGGACCATCCTCTTTCCTACCTGGGTCTGGAGGGTGGAGTCTTACAAGCTGGGCTAAGGGGTGAGCCCTGGCGCCACTTTATGCCCTAGTTTCTCCTATCTCCTTCTGCCCTTGTACCACATCTCTCCCAAAAGGCCCCTCAAGGGACACCTTTGGCCACAGGCCCTTGGGCCACTGTCTCCCGCTCTTGTCCTCTCCAGGAAGTCTGAGGCTGACTCAGGGGCCTTCCTGGCAGAGGCAGTACTGAGGAAGGCTTGCAGAGCCCTCAAGGATCCCCCCAAAAGAGCCAAGGTGGGGAGCCCCAGCTGCTAGTGACAGCAAAGGTGCACAGGGACCCTGGGATGAACGCCTCAAAAGGGGCTGGGCTCGGTGGTTCAGCCTGTAACCCCAGCACTTTGGGAGACCAAGGCGAGTGGATTGCCTGAGCCCTAGGGTTCCAGACCAGCCTGGGCAACCTGGTGAGACCTCATCTCTACAATAAAATAAAAAATAGCCAGGCATGGTAGTACGCATCTGTAGTTCTGGTTACTCAGAACGATGAGGTGGAAGGATTGCTGAAGCCCAGAAGGTCGACACTGGGGTGGCCATGAGCGTGCTTGCCACTGCACTCCAGCCTGGGCGAAGGAGTGAGACTCCAACTCAGAAAAAAAGAAAAGAAAAAGAAAAAGAAAAAGAAAGCCTCAAAAGGAGTGTGGGGTTGCCCCAGGCATGCCATCTTATTTTTTCCTTCGTGGCCATCACACCCTGGTACCCAGCAAGTCCCAGAGGGACAGCCCCAGGCTGGCCAGGATACACTCTCCCCAGACCTTGGTGTCCCCACGTGCAGCTGGTGGGGTGACATCTTGGGAGGGACACTAAGTCTACTAGGCCAGGGGCGAAAGGCCTCAGAGGCGCAAGTGGCCAGGAGGCGCCTCTTTCCTCCCTCGCGGTGCTAGAGCAAGGGCCCCTAACTCCACATACCTGCGTCCTCCCCTGTCTCCCCAAAGCATGCCTCAGTGCCCAGAGTCAAGTCCAGGCACTGTCCGCCCTGGATTCAGGGCAGGGTCCCAGGCGGTTGCATTCCTGTTGTGAGGAGGCTGGGGACATACAGACAGTCTTCACTTGGATGGTCACACTTGGATAGCCTTAGAAAAATGTCACCTAATCTAAGCATCCACATCATAAAGCTAAGGTGAGTGCCCATCTGGACTGGTTGGTCCACAGGCACCCAGGTGTAGTGGAGCCAGGTATGGGACTCTGGGCTGCCTGCCCCACTGCTGTACAGAGGATAGCGGCTGCCCTGTCAATAGGACACTGAGGAACAGCTGGGACAGGACACAGGTGCTGCCTGCCCAAGAGCAAAGAGGACCACTAGGCAAGGCATCAGGGCCCAGAGAGGGCACTTCATCTACCCAAGGTCACACAGCACCAGGCAAGGGGCAGTGCTGGGCTGCCAGGCCTGGCCCCGCACAGAACCCTCCCCACTGCCTGCCTGGGACCCAGGAGGGGGGTCCACCCAGTACCCGACTCCCAGCCACCTGACCTCAACCCCACATACCTAGGAGCCTTCCGGGCCGCCAGCCCAGCTGAAGCACAGCCCACACCACCGGCCAGGGCACCTGTGGGATCCGCATGCCTGAGCCCAGCAACGCAGGCCGCCAGCCACCTCGGCTCAGGCAGATGTGAAGCAGAAGGGAAACTGTCCCAGGTCAGGTCGAGTGAGGGCGCCTGCCCCTCCTCCGCCCACCCGCTCTCTCTTTCTCCACCTCCCTGAGGGCGGGGAGTGCCAGAGGCCGTGGGGGGAGGGAGGGGAGGAGGCGAAGGAGCGAGTTGGGAGTCGGAGGGGAGCAGGATGGGGGTGGGGGAAAGAGCTGAGGGGAGGAGGAGAGGGAGCAAAGGGGGCTGGGGGAGAAGTGGGTGGGAGAGGGAGAGACAGAGGAGGAGGGAAGGAGAGCGACAGAGACAAAAGTAGATGGGAAGAGACAGGGCTGGGGGCGAGGGAGGGAGGGAGGAGACATGCGGAGGGCCTGGTGGCTGCCCTACCCACCATGGGTGTCTCTCAGCTTGAGCCCCTCCTCTGGAAGGTCTTTTTTTTTTTAGCCAGTCTCACTCTGCCACCCAGGCTGAAGTGCAGTGGCACACTCACAGCCACCCCAGCGCTGACCTGCTGGGCTCTAGTGATCCTTCTGCCTCAGCCTTTCAAATAGCCAGAACTACAGGCACGTGCTACCACGCCTGGCTAATTTTTTGACATATTGTAGAGATGAGGTCTCACCAAGTTGCCCAGGCTGGTCTGGAACCCCTGGGCTCAGGCAATCCTTTCACCTCAGTCTTCCAAAGTGCTGGGATTACAAGCTTGAGCCACTGCGCCCAGCTTTGGGAAGGTCTTGTCTCTGTTTATACCAGGGGATTGTCCTCCATTTCCCACCTGAGCTGCCCCTCCTGAGGCTGAGGCTGGGCCTGGGGCTGCGGGCCTCTTGCTTCCCCTCCCCCCACCCCACCATCCCCTTGGGAGCCGTCCTTGTCCCTGCAGAAAGCTGGGTCATCACCTCTGGGATCAGACAGTTACGGGGGCTGGACACACTCCCATTCTGTCTGCAGCCCTGAGCTCTCAATTCTCTGCCTTGGAGCCATGGGCAGCGGAGGCCATGAGGGACAGGTGGCCCTACTGAATGACAGTTGTTTGGGCTAAGCTCCCCCCCCCCCCCCCCCCCCTGGCCTGCAGTTCAGTCCCACACCAGGTTGGGCAGCCTTCCGCTTGGAGATCACACCTTCCCGGCCTCATTCTCCCAACTCCGGTGGGGTGGAGTGGGGTGGGGTGGAGTGGGTTGGGCCTGGGTGCTCGGCTCAAGCTGACAGCGCCTTGCATGGGTGAAGCCGTGGTCTGCCCAGAGCACTTCTGATGGGGAGTGGAAATCGGGGAACTGAAACTGCTGATATTAGTGATGACACAGAGGACTCGGCTGCCAACAGTAACCACGACAGCTGGAAACCGCACTGAGACGTGGGGGGACGCGAGAGAAGAGCCGTGGAAAGACAGCATCAAAGGTGACAGGCGCCTGCTGCTGAGCGAGGGGCCCTCCTGTCAGCACTGGGCTGTGGGCGGTGGGGCAGGAGTTTGGCGGGGCCAATGCAGCTGTAACACCCACCCTCACACACCGGGGCTGGGCCCTAAGCAGCTCCCCAGACACCCCCTCCAGGGTCACCAGGTGGATTCTGAACAGAGCACACAGGCCTTGTGTTTGTCCTGGCCAACAATGGCTTTTGGGACCCCTGAGGCTGAGTACACTAGGTACAAAGCTGTTAATTCTCTGAGGACTAGGAAAGCCGCTGCTCAGGCTCTGGGAGAGGAGATGCCTGCAGATCCCTGGGCGTCTGCACCAGCCCTGCCTCTGCCTGTCTACTTGCCAGCCTGAACATGCATCCGTGGGGGCAGAGGGAGGAACCTGGCTTCCATTCTGCTCCTTCCTCCCCTCCATCTACCACCCTCTATCTCCCTCTCGTCTTCCCTCTTGCCCTCCCTCCTCTGAAGTCACTTTCCCCACCCTAGGCCCAAGTCAGGGTTCAGCAGGGAGTGACGGCCAGTGGGGGCCTGAGGCTGGCAACCGATGGCTCTCTCCCAGCCCATCCCCCAGAGACTGCGGTCCAAGAAGGGCCTGGAAAGGACCTGGGGTGCCCCAGTATCATACTCCCTACCTCATATCAACTCCCTCTCCCAGCACACACAATTCCCCCCCCACATAGAATCCCCAACATACACACCGTCCCCAACACGCGCACAATCCCTGGTACACACACCATCCCCAACACGTACCTAATCCCCGACACACACACCCTCCCCAAACACACATGCCGTCCCCAACACACACACAATCCTCAAGACGCACATCATACCCAACATACACATAATCCTCAACGTACACTATCCCCAACACACATAATTCTCAACACACACACACCATCTCTGGCACACACACTATTCCCGGCGCACATACTATTCCTGGCACACACACCATCCCTGGCACACACATCATCCCTGGCACACACACCATTCCTGATACACACACCATCCTCGACACACATATAATTCCCAGCACACACACCCCACCTCCGACACACATTATCCCTGACACCCTTCCTAGCTCCCTGTGTCCTGTCTTCTACAAACACCAGGAAGTGAAGCTGCGTGGAGGGAGGAGGGTGCCGATGGACAGGATGGGCACTTTGGCTGCCTGAGCCTTCCCCACCACCCCCGGTCTCCTCTCCCGATCCTGCCTAGGGAGGCCTCTGTCCCCACCTCCTGCTTTCCTCCCCTGCCCCTTCCTAGCAGAGAGCACACCCCTCCAATTGACTGGGCCTGGAGGGCCAGCTTCAGTCTAGGAGGCCCAGGTGGAAGGGGTCACAATGAACTGGGAAAGGCGGGCGTTTGACTGAGTTTTGTGTTCCTTACAGTGGTTGGCTTCCCTCACACACCTGCTCAGTTTCTCCCATGGTCCCGTCTGCAAATCTACCCGCTGGCATCACAACCAAGGCAGTGGCTTTGCTGACCTCCATGAGCTCTTCAGAGCCCCTGCGGTACCTGCACTTGTGTGTGCCAGCGACTACACAATGTCAGCCACAAGGCAGCCCCACACACCCCTCAGTGGAGTGGCCAAAGTCCTTCCTGTCATCCTTGGGACTCACACCCGCTTCCCTCCTGGCACCACCCCTGTCCCCAGTTCATTTAGCAGTGGTGTATCCATGGGATGAGGTGGGGCAGAGCCCGCCCACACTGGCTTTTTCTGATGGCTTACTGTGTTTCAGCATATGATCTTTTTGCTGCTGACCCACAGTGTAAGGTGTGCAAAGTCCGTTCAGCCATTCTTTTGTTCAAGAGCTGGCAGATTCCAGCTCTTGGTGATTGTGAATAAAGCTCTCAGTGGGACTGGGCACCACCCAGGAGGCTGTGGGAGCCAGTCAGGGACAGATTGTGCTCCCAGGGACAGGTTGTGTTCCAGGAGACAGTTAAGTTGTGATCCTGTGGCCCTGGAGAAGTTTCCCCTCACCCCGGCCCCCTCCCTCCTGGTCTAAGGGCAGCCAGCCAGAGAGGGCCATGTGTTGGAACACAGTCAGCACAGATGGAAAGTAGGGGGTTCCCCGCTCCTGGAGGAGGTAGGATGTTTCCATCCACCCAAGGACAGCCCCAGGGGAGCACAGGAAGCAAGGATCATCCTGGAACTGCCACAGGAGGGAGGTGGTGAGGGGTTGAGGCAGGGCTAGTATGGTCCAGTCCGGCGGATGCTGCGGCTGGCAGGGACAGGACACCCGGCGCCGCAGCCCGAATCGCAGCTATCTGAGGTTGGAACAGGAAATGGTTAATAGTGTTTGCAAATACAAACTTTTTGTTCTATCCTGTTTTCGAAACATTTCCCAGAAGTTGAAAAGGAACGCCTTATCTGCCTGATTAAGAACCACATTTGAAAAATGGAATGAGATATTTCCATGATTTATGATGCACATGAATAAAGATAGTTTGGTTGCTTGTTAAGGAGGGGGGTCTATAGGCGATTTCTACCCCCTCGTCCACTATTTTCTAAACTTTCTAGAATGTGGTCAGTAGTTTAAATGTGAATTTATATTTTAAATCTTCTGATGTGTGCATATATGTACATGTATATATATATCTGTGTGAGTGTGTTATTGTGTGGTGTATGTTTGCATATGTGTGCTTATGTGTATTGGGTGTGGTATGTGTAGCACTTCTATTGTATGTGTTTAGTATGTGTTAGTGTAGTGTGTTTTTGTGTTATGTATGTTATGTGTGTGTATTGCGTGTAGTGCATCTGTGTATTCCTTTTGTGTGTAGTGGTATTGCATGTGGTGTGTGTGTAATGTATGTTGTATGTTTTGAATATTGTGTGTTATATGTATATGTACTGTGCATGTATTGTGTATGTGCACAGTATGTGCAGTATGTGCATGTAGTGTTTGTGTATGTGTATTATGTGTGTAGGTATGTCTCTGTGTTCATGTGTGTTGTTGGTGTGTGTAGTATGTATATGTGTTGCATGTGTGCACAGTGTGTGTGTAGTTTGCTTATGTGTGTTGTATGCAGTGTTTGTATATATGTTGCATGTGTGCTTAGTGTGCATGTAATGTGCTTGTGTGTGGTTGTCTGTGTTCATGTGCATTGCACTGGTATGTGTAGGGCCTGTGTTGTGTGTGCAACACTCCCCTGCCTTTTCACCTCAGTGCAATGGGCTTCATCCAGGCCCCTGCTGGTGGCCTTGCCTGGGCTCCCAAACTCAGCTGGGAGAGACATGCAGCTCTCCTGAGTGTGGAGGTAGAAAGACTGCCCTGGCTCCCGGGCCACTGGGTGGATCAGGGACCAGAGGTTTCTCAGACTGGCCCTTAGGAGCGGAGGACTGGGTGGCACTTCATCTGCTGGGCAGCAGAAGCACATACCTACCTGTGTGCTGGGCTCACAGTGGCCGCAGGGCCTGGGATCCAGGGAGGCACCTTGTGCTCCCAGAGCCATACCCCTTCTGCCCAGGGTCACAGGAGTGAGGGTGGACCTGGCACATGCAGGACTTTGTGTCTCCTGTCCCAGGTCTTTCTCTGCTCCCCATCACACACAGGGTGATCTCTGGAGAGGAAAGCCCACTATCAGCCCTGAGCCCAGCCAACGCCTCTGCCCCTCCCTGTCTTCCTGGACCACACCCATGCTCTGAGCCTGGTCACCTGTGGAGCCAGTGGTGGGAGGAAGGGAGAAGGGAGTGGCAGGGCATCAGGGGCTCACCTGGGCTGCCTGGTTGAGGTCTGCTTTTGAATGCTTCTCGCAGGTTGCTAGCAGGGAGGGTTGTCCTGACACCTTCCCCACAGCTGCTCCTATTCACACCAGGGATGGCTCTGGAGCCATCGCAGGGGGACAGGAGTCGTCTCTACCAGCCTTTTCCTGAAACCTGTTCTTGGGGATGGGGCCACACAGTGTGGTCTGAGGGAGCCCCCATGTCCAGGCCCAGGTGGACACAGACACTGGGCTCACCGCTCAGGATCGCATATACATGGCAGGCCCTACAGACACTGTCCCTCCTGCCTCTTCTCTGATGAAGAGGGAATGTCACCCTGGTTAACTTATTAGCTGGTAAGGAGCTTTTACAGGCTTGGTTGGTGACTTTGGGAGACAGTGGCAGAGGCACGGAGAGGGAGACTACCTCTGTAGTCAGCTGTCTAAGTCTTGGTGAGGTCTCTGGGTGAGTCCAAGGAGACCCAACAACACTTGGGAGAAAGACAACACCCTCTGCATGCTATAGGGTCCACACTGCCGACCAGAAGATGGTTTCAGGTGATGGGAGTTGGGCATCATCCCAAAGCTTCCCCTGAACTCATAGCTCAAGCATGGCAGGGAGGCACATGGATCCACTGGGCTGGGAGGCTGTGGGGGAGGAAGCCTCTGGGGACCATCACAGACCAAGGTCATTGGAGATGGGTGAGCAGTGGCCATCCCCACACCTTCACTTGGGCCTGGGACTAGGATCATGGGGACCCTGTGCATGCACAATGGCCTCACGCCAACCAGCAAAACCTAGGACCTGAGGCAGATCAGCTGTGTAGTGCTCAAACCCAGAAAACTGAACAGGCAACACGGCCGCTGGCTTGTTTCTCACTTGGACAAGACATCCAGAGGTGGGTGACCCTGAGTGTGACTCCGGCTGTCATCGAGGATCTGGGTCCTGGCTGTGAGCTCCTTCAGTGAGGAATAGAAGCTTGTGAGGCAAACGAGAAGGGCAGGCCTCTCCCTGCTGCCCGGCTCCATGTCAAGGACCTTCCCAGAAGCACATCCTGGTAACTTCCTCTCACATCTCACTTCACACTCAGCTGCAAGGCAGAAAGATATCACATATTTGAAGGAGCCAAAAAGAAGCTTCAGAAATGACAAATACAATAAAAATAATGATCTCACTGTACATGTTAACTGCAGAGTGGGCAAAGTCGAAGAGAGCACACGAATGGGTAGAAAATTGGAGGTGTCAGTTTGCAGGGCAGAGGGCAGAAAGAGGAGGCCTGTGAGGAGAGGCTGGATGCATGGGGTCCAGCAGGCAGTTCTGTCCTGGGTTTTTCATGGCCACATGCGAATTGGTGGCATCTTCTAAGCTTGTGAGTCCTGAGGGCCAGGCCCTGCCACGCCCTTTCCTGCCTGTTGGGCCGCAGGCTGGCTTCTCTCATCTTTTCTTTTCTTTTCTTTTTTTTGAGTTGGAGTCTCACTCTGTCGCCCAGACTGGAGTGCAGTGGCCGCTCCCGGCCACTGCAGCCTCGACCTGCTGGACTCCGGCAATCCTTCCGCCTCAGCCTTCCAAGTAGCCGGAATTACAGGCATGCACTACCACGCCAGGCTGATTTTTTTTGATTTATTGTAGAGATGAGGTCTCGCTGCCCAGGCGGGTCTCGAACCCGTGGGCTCAGGCAATCTCTCATCTTTTCTTATCACACCTGACAAATCACTGCTGTGCACGAAAGCATGGTTGAATCTCAAGAATCAAAACCTGAAAAGGTGAGAGAGGCAGACATTCACGCAGCTGCGTGGTCCAAGACCCCATGTGCACCACACTCAACAGCACGACATGAACAGAGGTGTTCAGGGAGATGTTTCAGGTGGCAAAGCCACACCGTGGAGCTCAGCCTGGCCACCTGGGGGGCAGGGGAATTGGGAGAAACAGGCAGAGAGCTTTAGGGCTGGCGAGATTCTGTTTCATCTCTAGGAGGTGGCACCCTAATATTTTATAATTTGTGAAGTTCTACATTTATGTTTTAGGAATTTTCATGTAAATGTTTTCTATTTCTCACTAATGAAAAGTAGGGGGCTGGTTGTGATGCCTCATGCCTATAATCCCAGTTCTTAAGGAGGCCAAGTGGGAGGATCGCTTGAGGTCACAAGTTCAAGACCAGCCTGGGCAACACAGCGAGACTCCGTCTCCATAAAACACAAGCATGCACAAAAATTAAAAGTTGAAAACAAAAAACCCACAGGCAAACTTGCAGCGATAAACATCAGGGAGGGTCCTCACAGCTTTGTCTGTGTGGCTGACTTGGCTTGGGGCTGTTCCAGGATAAAGGCAGGTGAACACAGTGGCCCAGCCATGACCCGGAGGTGCACCCACGGTTGGAGGGGTGCATGTGGACACTTCATGCTGGGTTGCCCAGCAAGGCACAGGCTGTGGAGAAGGCATCTAGCATGGTTCCCTGTCTGAGAGTGAGCGTGAGCACTTTCTGAGCCACCCAGAGAAGCACGCGGCCCCCAGGCTTCCTGAAGCAGCCTCCAGGTGGGGGCCGTGGAGGCTTCATCCTTGTATTTTTCCTTTCTGCGTCTCTGAGATAAATGTGGTTGTCATGGTGACCAGGCTGCTGTCGAGGTCCTGATTGGCCAGGCGGGATGCGGGTCCGGGTGCCTCCTGGTCCCCGCGGGCACAGGCTCCCCAGCACTGCGGAGCATGGACAGGGCTGCAGCAGCCGTGTGGGCCAGCACCTTCGCCCAGCTGATGGCCGCGAGGAAGCCCCGTGATGTCTGGGTCTTGCTGCCCCAGGACAGCCTGGCCATGGGGCATCAGGAAGGCGGCCTCCAATACCGACTGGAGGGGCTCTCGAGGTGCGGTGGGGCCAAGGGTGGGGGGGCACACCTCCCCGCGGGCTCCTGGGTGGCCTCAAGATCAGGTTGGGTGTGGTCCTGGAGTGGGCTGGGTGGGATGCTATGGGTGGGACTGGAGCCTCTCTCCCGCCCGGTCTTGTCCGCGGGGTTGGTGGGGTCTGGCACTCTTCTCTCTTTGAGGAGTGGGGGTGCCAAGCCCCTGCCTGGCCCTGCTGGCCTCACGGTTGCCAGGCCCAGCCTTGGTGGTGATGTGGCGTTGTCCACACTGCGTGGGGGGTTGGTTGTCACTCATTCCAGCTCCCCGGGCTAGCACTGCCCTGGCCATATCGTTTCCATGGCGTTGCCATGGCGTCATGGCTATCAGTGCTGACAGGTGGCAGCTGGGTGTGCAGGGGCTGGGGTGACTGTCCCTGCACTGCAGCTGACTCTGCCTTGGGGAAGCTGAGGGGTGCCTGGAGTGGGTGCTCAGTCCAGGCCGGCTCACATGTGAGCCCCCCAGGCCACTGTCACATCAGCCACTGTCAGTGCAGCAGGTGGCCCCTCTGGGCTTCTCCACCCAGCGAGGTGTCTCTAGCTCTGTAGGTGCCGAGGGGAGGGACAGATAGCTCAAGGGCTTGGCAGACGTTGCCAACAGGCCTGGGGTGCAGGATGGATGGTCACTCTGGGGACACTGGGGGCAGAATGGACTGTTCTGCCTGTTAACAGGGGCCACAGCTCCTAGTGTGCCAAACCCCAGGGCCAAGGGTGAGGGAGCCCTGGCTTTTCCAGATGTTGGAACCATAAACACTTGAGGGCATCAGGAAGCACCTGGAGACTATTGCCTCCCCCTTCCTGCAGCTGGGACAGTGCTGGGTGCTGAGGCTGGGTGCCGCAGTCCTGGAACTGAGCCAGTGGGACAGACCATGAGAACCGATGGACAAGGATGGACAAACCATGGGGTAGACAGGTCATGGGGATGGACAGATCATGGGGACCAGCAGACCACAGGGATGGACAGACCACAGGGACAGACAGACCACAGGGACAGATAGACCACAGGGACCAACAGACCATGAGACCATGAGGATGAACAGACAATAGGGATGGACAGACCACGAGGACAGAAAGACGACGAGGATGGATAGACTGTGTGGGAAGACAGACAGTGAGGACAGACAGACTGTGGGGATGGAGTGACAGTGGGAACAGACACACCAAAAGGATGGACAGACTATGAGGACCAGACCACGAGGATCAACAGACCATAGGGATGAACAGACCATGAGGATGGACAGACCATGGGGAAAGCAGATGGCCGTGAGGATGGACAGACTGTGGGGATGGACAAACTGTGAGGGTGGATAGATCATGACAGACCTTGAGGATAGGCTGTGCCCAACACACAGCCTCTAAGTCTGTGGCTCTGATGCTGGGTGATCATGTAAATAAAGTCAGAGTTCTGGTTCCTCAGGTGCCATCCATGTCCTCGGCCCTGTGGCTACCATGGCTGGAGGCTGCTATAAAATGTTTCGTCACCTGGAAATTTCTACCAGATGGTGCTGAGGCAAAGCCTCCCACGAGGGCAGGCTCCTCATGCTGTAGCTGCGTGTGCACTAGCCAGTGTCATTCATCTGGTGACCTGTGGCCAAGGCTGCTCCCTATCTGCTCCCTCCCCGTCTCTCCTCCCCATCTCTCCTGCCCTCCCTGGCTGACATGTGGGACAGTGACCCACCGGGGCATGTTCACAGCACCCACTTGCTGTCCATCCCCGGGTCAGACCCAGACACCTGCTCTTCCTGCCTAGCATGTGTCCACAGGGCTGCCTGCCACGGCAAACCAACCCCTTGTCATGAGATTGCACAATGCACAGAGCCAAGGTGTCTGCTCCTTCGCCCTAGGACTTGCAGGAAAGAGGAGGTGCCTGCATCCTGCTCGACTGGGTTGGGTGCAAGCCATAGGCAGGAGGGGTGCTGGGCTGTGGGGAGATCTGAGGCTGAGACTGGAGGTGGGACAAGGGCGGGGGCGGGGCTGGATCCCTGACTTGCCCCCTCTTCCCACAGGCTCCAGTGCAGCACCTGCCCCTGGGTATGGGCTTCGGCCCATGTGCTCGTGCTCTTCCACCTGTGGTGGGACAGGGACCGCCGCAGGGGGCTGGTGACGATGCGCGCCTGGATCCAGCACTGTGCGCAGTGCTTCCCACCGGGTGGAGACTGCCAGATGAGCCCCGTGGCTGTGCGTGACTGCCTAAGAGAGCTGGTCCTGTATATCCTGCGCCAGTGTTACGGGGACAACCCCAGCCCCCTCTGGCGTCTCAGGAATGGCTCTAGGGACCGCTGTCAGGCCTGCTACCTGGGCCTCTGCTTCTTCCAGAGGGCCCCAGACCCCCCCTTGGGATACATGATAGGGAGCTCCAGTGCTGAGATAGGCACCTGCCCGGGGGACTCACAGTCACCCACCCCCTATGGCGGCCCTGAGGCCCAGGTCGCTGGGGGTCATGGCCTCAGCTCTGGAGCCAGCCTCCTTGCTGCATCCCCTGCTGTGGAGATTCCCGTCTCAGAGGGCAGGGTCTTCCTGGTCACTATGGTTACCATTCGCTTCTCTCCTGTGAATATGAGCCAGGAATGGGCACTCAGGGTGGGCAGCCATACCACCCCTGCTGGAGGCTCCCTCCTTACCGGCAACCGTAGAGTGCAGGTCATTGGCAAGGGCTCCCTCCACCTGTCTGAGAATTCTGTGACTGGGCCTAGGGGCCGCATTATACTGGTCAACATTGGAGTCCCCTGCTTCCATGGCCAGGGCCCCCTTAGCAGCACAGAGGCCTTTGAGTTCCAAGGCCTCCTGTTCAGGGGCTGGGGTCAGGGTCCCTTATCCTTTAGTGATGGCCTGGGCATCACTGGAACCCGTCTGCCACCTGTGTCCTACAGCGTTGGCATCACAGCCAGCGGGGAGGGCATCCTCACCTTGCCCCTCTTCCTTGCCAACCTCCTTAGAGGTCAGGACTCCCTCGCCAGCATCACTGAGGGCAGAGAGGGGGGCGGAGGTGGCCAGGGCTCCGACCCCGCTGGCATCAATGACCTTTCAGCGGCCAATGCTGATGGCCCCACTGCCAGCCAGAAGGGCTCTGTCACCTTCCCCTTCATCTTGGTTAATGACAAGTGTGCCTGTGCTGACATCACTGAAGGCAGAGGGAAGGATGGTGGTAGCGAGGGCCTCGTCACCGCTGGCAACGACCCTCTTCCTGAGCCTGATGCTGGTGGTCTTGTCTCCGAGGACAAGGGCTCTGTCGCCCCCTCCTCCCTTCCTGGTGACCTCAAAGATGCTTTTAAGGATGTCACTGAAGGCAATGGGAAGGAGGGTGTTGGCCAGGGCCTTGTCACTGTCCCTCAGGCAGCCCCTCTGGGGGCCGATGTTGAGGGCTCTGTCTCCATCACTGGGGGCTCCATCACCATTCCTGTTTCAGTCTTCGACGTCATAAGACGCACGGGCCCCCGCGACGTGGCTCCTGGCTCTCGAGGCAACAGCTCTGCCACCTACGGCTACTCTAGGAGATGGCTGAGGTCCAGGCCCGGCAGGTCCAGCAGCAGGTGCCGCCGTGAGCATGACGCACGCCCTGGCCGTGCCCGCCGCAGGCCCCCCGCTGATATCTCGGAGGACTTCTTGGTCTGTATCTGTGTGATGTGCCTCTTCTGGGTTCTCTGCCTGGGTGGGATGAACCCTGGCCTTCTCCCGCGGATGATGTGATGCTGCTGTGTACCCACTAGCCCCAGCCTCAGCCCCCTCGGTCCTCACCATGGCGGTGTTGGCTGCTTCCCAAGCTGTACCCGTGTGCTCAGGTGTGCTTTGTGTGTGTAACGCCAATAAAACAAGTCAGCCCTGAATCTTCCCCCAAGAGGGGGCTGTTGTCACCACCTCAAGCGTCTTCGGGGTGGGAGGTGTGGTGGGCATGTCCTTCTTTTCCTGTCTCTGTGGGGACCCCTCAAGCCCAGCACTCCCCCAGGAGAGCTCCCTTTGGGCCCCATGCATCTCCTGGGATGGGACAGAGAGTTCTCAGGTCAGGTGAAATGAACATCCTTCCAGTAGGATCCCGGGGTTTTCTGGAAGGAGTCACTTGCCTGCTCTAGGAGAGAGGAAAGTCCAACCTTGCCCTCCTTTCTCTCACTCTTCCTCCCTTCATGGGCCCTGGGTATATCCTATAAGAGGAGTGGGGGCCACGGGACAGCAGGGGACTGTCTGGGTCTGCGAACTGCCATCCAGGGCAGATGACAGAAGGCTCTCCTGTGACTCATAACCACACCCCAGATGTCCACTTCCTAAGAGTGCAGTTTCCATTTCTAAAGTGGGGGGAGCGAGGGGCACACAGTTTTCCCAGCCAGTGGGGACCCGACAGTGGCTGCAGCAGGGTCCAACTGTCCTTCCTCCCTGCAGCTCCTGGGAGGTTGCAAATTACCTGGAGAGACCCTGGGGTCTGAGGCTTGGGTAACCCTAGGGTCTTTGGGTGGTGGTGGTGGAGGAAGCTGTGTGTGGGAGGGTGGTGGTGGGAAGCCTCTCTACAGAAAGAAGAAGCTTCGTCCAGGGCTCTGGTCTGGAGGGGTAGTGCATCTCTGGAAGGTTCTGCCTGTCAGGCTGACCTGGGCCCACAGGTGTTGAAGGCGTAGCTGGAGGGGCTCCTGGAGACGGGTCTGGCAGCTCGCATGGAGGTGGAGAAGCTTCACGATGAAGCTGCAGAATCTGCATCCTGGCTTGTGGGCCCCAGTGGAGACACCAGAGGCCCTGGAAAGTTCCAATCCTCACAGAGGACTGAGAGAGTGGCCAGCCTGAAAGTGGCACAGACTGTGGGGTCCCAGGAAGGATTCTAAATTCAGGCCCTTGAGACACTGCATTGGTTGGTAGGAACCCAGTCACAGACTCAGGTCGAAGTCACCTCGTCCTAGGGAGGCTCCTGGGAATCTGCCTTCCTCTAGAGAGGATGGGGCTGGGACCTACTCTGGGCTCTGGGGACATCCCAAGTGGTCAACCAGGCCTCAGGCCCCAGTGTGGACCCTTCACCACCCACCTACCAGACACCAGGGCAATGGTCTTGGGGCCTGGACCTGGGATGCCTAGGAGCCTTGGAGGCCTGTGGGGAGGAGCCCTGACCTCCCTGCTCCCCTGCCTGGCTGCCAGGGCCCTGCAGGGAGTCTGCTGGGTGGGTTGGGCAGGGGGGCCCAGGGTAGGGCGCAGGTGCAGGCACAGAAAGGAGGCTGGGTTCCCACTGGCTGCTCCCTGCAGCTTCATCTGCCACAGGAGACTGAACAGGTGTCCCCATGTGGGCGCATGAGGGGCTGTCTGCAGGGGACCTCACTTGGGCCGCCGGCCCACCCTCAGCCAGTGGACCTTAGGTCAGGACAAGGGAGAGACCTGGGGTCCCCTCCAGCCCTGCCCTTGAGGTAGCCCAGCCTTGGGACAGGCCTGAGGTCCCCATCTCCCAGGACCCTGAGCTCCATGGTTCCTCCATGGTTCTCGGGGAGTGCAGCCTCAGCCCGGCTCCTGAGAACCCATCCCAGTCGTGGCGGGGGGCTTCTTTGGGCCCTCCTGGCCCCCTCCTCGCCACCCGGCTCTTTCCTCACCTGAATGCAGTCGGGAGCCCAGTGGGGGCCGGTCACAGGTTGAAGCCCCTGGCCCCCAGCCTCTTCCCAGGTCCCACTTCTCTCTAGAGCCCCTGGACTCCCTTCCCCCTGTTGTCTCCCTCCGGTTCCCCTGGCGACCCTGTCTCCCAGATCCCTCCGCCCTCTGCTCCCCGCCCCCATCGGCCTCCTGATGCCCCCCCGTCCACGGCCACTTAACCCCTCGGCCCCGCCCCCAGTCCTTCCCCACTCCGGCTTCCGGGTCCCCCGCTCCCTCTCCGGGCCTGCTCGCGGTCTGCGCGGTCCTGCGGCACCCCCGTGTGGCCGCTGGCAGGACGAGCAGCTTCGCAGTCTGGCGGCCCGGAGGGCTGGGCCAGGACGCCCTCCCTGGTCACAGCGCTGGTTGAGCTACTTCTCTGACTAACCTGACCGTTTTGCTACAACCAAGCACAGGCGCACTCATCCTCGGCGTCCTTGACTTTTTCTCTCATGAGTAATTAGACTTCAGTCCATTAATTAACTGATATGTAAATGTCACAGATACTAATGAGAGCAAATGCAGTATGTGCACTTGACCTGCTGCAGCGTATATTAAGGTGAGTTAGCTATGGTGAGTTTGCCATCATCATGGGGAAACTGAGGCAAAGACACCACTCACAAAATCAGGGCAGACCTGTGGCTCACATCCTAGACAGCCTACACCTGAGGCCACACCTGAATTTACACCTCAGTGCTCAGCTGAACCCTCACCAGAGCCCACATTGGTGTTGGGCCCTGAGAACACATCTGAGCCCTCACCTGAGTCCAAACCTGTGCCCTCACCTGAACTCACACTTGAGCCCACAATGGAGATCAAACCTGAGCCACAGCTAAGCCCATAGTTGAGCCCACAGCTGAGCCACACCTGAATACCTAAGCTTGCACCTGAGCCCACTTGGGTCCTCCCATGAGTCCACACCTGAGCCCACAACTGCCATACTTGAGCTCACATCTGAACTCACATCTGAGCCCACCCCTAAGCTGGAGCCTGATATCACACCTGAGCCCACAACTGAACCATACTTGAGCTCACACTTAAGTGCACATGAGCTATTCCCTGACTCACACGTGGGCCCACACTTAAGCCCACACATGAGAACACACCTGAGCCCACAACTGAGTCTACACCTGAGCCCTCACCTGAACACACACCAGAGCCTACACTTTAGCCCTCATTTGAGCTACACTTGAGCCCACGCCTGAGCTCACACCTGAGCTCACATGAGTCCTCCTCTGAATGCTAACCTGAGTCCACACCTGAGCTCACCCCTGAGTACACGTGAGCCTTCCTAGCTCACACCTGAGGCTGCACCTGAGTCACATCTGAGCTACAGTTGAGTGCTTACCTGACCCACACCTGAATCCATACCTGAGTTCACACCAGAGCCCGCATGAGCACTCCTGAGTCCTCACCTGAGTCACACCTGAGTCTACACCTGAGCTCAACCCTAAGTGCACATGAGCCTTCCCTTGAGCCTAAACTTGAGGTCACACCTAAGGCCACACTGGAGCCATACCTGAAGTCATTCCTGAGCCACATCTTAGCCCTCATCTGAGCCACTCCTGAGCTCTCCCATGAGCCCACACCTGGGCTCACACCTGAGCTCTCCCATGAGCCCACACCCCAGCTCTCCCATGAGCCCATATCTGAGCTCACCCCTGAGCTCACACGAGCCATCTCTTGAGCCCACACCTGAGCCCAGACCTTGCTCACACGTGAGCCCACATTGGAGGCTGCACCTGAGCTCTCACATGAGCCCACACCTGAGCCACACATGAGTCCTCATCTTAGCCACACCTGAGCCCTCACCTGAACCACATCTGAGCCCTCATCTGAGCCTACAACAGAGCCACATCTGAGCCCTCGCCTGAGTTCTCATGTGAGCCACATCCGAGCCCTCAGCTGAGCCCACATCTGAGCCCACATCTGCACTCACAGCTGAGCCCACACCTGAACCCGCACCTTAGCCATACCTGGGCCCCAACCCTAGCCACATCTGAGCCTTAATTTGAGCCCACATCAGAGCTACATCTGAGCCATCACCTGAGTTCTCATCTGAGCCACATCTGAGCTCTCAGCTGAACTCATACCTGAGCCCACATCTGAGTTCACACCTGAGTTCACCTGTGCCCTCTCCGGAGCCCACCCCTCATCCCATACCTGAGCTCCCTCCTGAGCGCACCCTGTGCTCTCACCTGAGCTCACACTTCGGCTCACTGCTCTCCCGGACACTAGTGGGGGGCGACATCCTGCAGGGGTTAGGGCCACCGTCACAGCTCTGCCTACCCCGCTGCCTTCCTTGTGACCCCAGAAGCTGCCCTGCCCCACAGACAGCAAAGGGACAGGCTCGGGGTCCTCTTCATTGCATGCGCGTCTGTCCTGTGGCCTGGACAGTCTCATCAGCAGGGTAGCCTTGCACTCCCTTCTCCAAAGTTATGCTTGGGATGCTCTCATTAGAAGGGGCTGGGTGAGCGTGGGGTCAGAGCTGGGGCCATCACCATGTCCCAAGGGGTGGATGGGACAGCAGAGCAGGGTGCTGGCCTAGGGCCTTGAAGGGTGTCCATGCCCTTTTGTGTTGCTTGGTTCTCCCACAAAAATGAGTCCAGGTGATGCGGTGTGGGTGGGGCTGGCCGTTGGCTGTGGTGGTGACAATGGCTGCCTGTTGTGACAGCGATGTTAGAGAGGGTGTTGCCTGCTCTGGCGGTGAGTTCAGATGGGGGCCGTCTGCTGTGGCAGTGGTTAGAACCACTGCTGTGGCAGTGTCGTTAGAACAGGGACCGCCTGGGATAGCAGCACTCATTGTGTGTTGGCTTCGTCAGTCACTCCTTTCCCCCTGTGCAGCCTCTGTGATGTGGGGCGAAGTCAGAGACCCACCTGAGGCTCTCCCTGAGCCCACCTGGACACTATACTGATCAGCCCTGGTGCAGAGGGCACTCCACTGGACTGGGCAGTGGCATGACATGGGTATGACAGGGCTGGGCAGTGGCATGATGAGAATGTGATGGGGCTGGGAGTGGCATCATGTGTGTGTGACAGGGCTGGGGTGGAAGGAATGGCATGCATATGACAGGGCTAGGCAGTGGCATGGCACGCATGTGATGACTGTGCTGTGGGTTCATTCCCTCCTAGTGTGCAGTGGGGGTGTCCCCCACCATGTTGGAGCCCGGCTGGTGTCTGTGTCTACTGATGGAGAGCCCACTCTGGCTGGGTGGAATTTTCAGCCCTGCATGTCCCT